AGCTGGTTAGAAGTGCAGCATCTCAGACCTTTGATCTGTCACATCAGAATTGGTGCTGGACGTGCACGAACGTTCCAGCAGCACGGCTACAGACTCCTGCTGCGGGAAAAGCGTTCGATTACCTACCTTTAAACATCCTGCTTCTGCGAAACATGAAAAGACCTCTGGCTATCAGTGTTACCCAACTTATCCCACTACATCAACTAACCAGAACCAAATTCATTTAGAGAATCAGTTAATTACAAGTCTCTTCAGTAGTCAGCTTCCATGAGAAAGAGGTTAGTCACGAGACGAGCCAACGTGGAAGGTATTTTAAAAAGCAACTTTCAGTTTATGCTGGGAAGAGGCACAGATTCAGCACAGCTCCTAAAACTGCATCGACAGCAGTGTTCCTTAAACTGAGCTATTCTGCAACACGGCTATTCTGCAACAAATCTGTGTGTGTGCCAGAGACATCTTGAGAAACAACTCAAAGGAACTAATTTTATTTCTTCTATGTTTTGTAAGAGAAGCAGCAGTCTGGCAACAAAGGAAATGATGTGTTGTGTGTTCTCTCCTTCCTAAACCTGTTGCTACCTACACATAGGCTGGCGAACAAGCTGGACGCTGGCCCGGTAGCCACACTCCCACGACAAGAGTCAGCAGTCAGCCAAACACAGGTGTGACACGTGACAATTTATTCCATCCATATGTATCCCCAAAGTCCAAATCCCTTTTTTAAAAGAGTCCTGGGGCATCGACAGGCAACTTAGTAAATCGATGATCAAACATCCAAATATGGAAGACTACATAACCATAATTATGATAGGTCTCCACAGACGGATGTGGAAAACGTATAGAAATTATTAAGTAAAAGAAAATGCAAAGTACACAAACAGAGCCAGATGCAAAATGAAATATATAATATGATCCTGTTTTGATGACACAAAATTAAGATTATTTGAATGTCAGCAGATAATGCCAGACACCTGGGAAAACTTTAAAAAAATTTTTTTTAAAGCTTATTTATTTTTTGAGAGAGAGAGAGAGAGAGAGGCAGAAAGGGGTAGAGAGAGAGGGAGACAGACTCCCAAGCAAACTCCACACTGTCAGCACAGAGCCTGATGTGGGGCTTGAACGCATGAACTGTGAGATCATGACCTAAGCTGAAATCAAGCTGGCTGCTTAACCGACTGAGCCACCCAAGCACCCCTGGGAAAACTGTTAACCATGCATATCTCTGAGGTGGCTGTTCACATCTGGGTGTTGTTTGAAATTCTCACATGTACTTTTTATATTTAAAAAAGACGTTTTTTTTTCTGATTACAAAACAGAATTCCGCAGTCGGTAAAAAAATACTTCTGCCAGGAAATGGACTCATCTGTGAATGATGAGGATATGTATTTAGTGATTACATATGTATAACATACTATACGTGTAATACAGTTGACCATGTAACACTGATTTGCACTGAGCAAGTACACTTGTACACGGATTTTTTTCAAAAAATACAGTACAGTACTGTAAATGTATTTTCTCTTTTTTCTTAACGTTTTCTTTTCTCTAACTTACTCTATTCTAAGAATACAGCATATGATACACGTTACATACAAATTATGCGTTAACTGACTTTATGTTATCAGTAAGGCCAACAGTAGACTATTAGTAGAAAGTTTTGGAGAGTCAAAAAGTTATATGTAGATTTTTTTACTGTGCAAGGGGTGGGATATAGAGTATGTGCGCGTAATACATACATATTTATATGTGTTTTATGTACATACATATAAATATATATGTACATTAAAAAAAAAAAACAAACGTTAAGGTGATATCACATTCCAGGAACAAACAGGGAAAAAATGTTGAAAAATACGAATGTCCTTCATACCAAACACATAGAGAAATTGGCAGCCCATTATATGCTTGATGGTTTGTTTAATAATGCTACGGCTTCATAAACATTTAAGAGGTTTTTAAGATGTCCAGAACAGGTAAATCTCTAGAGACAGAAAGTAGACTAGTGGTTGTTTAGGGTTAGGGTCAAGGTCAAGGGGAGTGAGCAGTGACCAATAATGGGTACAGGGTTCCCTGTTGGGGTGACGAAAATGTTCTAAAAGTGATTTGGTGATGGTGGCACAATTCGGTGAATATACTACAAAAACCACTCCATCATATACTTTAGATGGATAAACTGTATAGACTGTGAGTTATAAGTTCAATAAAACTGTTAAAAGGGACATTTTGAAAACAATTCTAACACCAGGACATCGATCTTTTCTTTTTTTAAGATTGAGTTTGACACTTTGTTAAGTATGTACCAATGGACTAGATAATTTATTCATTAAAACGAGATATCGTTTACTTCTCTTTTGTGACAATGAACTTCCTTTTATTTCTGCTGTATTCTGCTCTTGGGTCGGGG